CAAACAGTCCATAGAAATGGTGTGATATAAAGCCTGAAATCAAGGCTCAGTGTCATGTGCTACTTTGTCATCTGATAAAATCCACAGGGCCTTGAAAGGTCTAGCTGCAATTTCCCCGCCCCAAGTGCTCTGTGGACAAACACTCCTCCCTGTGATAACAGGGTTCACGAACCGAACCGTGTCTGGTTGCCCTTAAGTGGCAGGGTTCAATTTTCAGCCAACTGAAAGAATTATTCAAACAAACCAGGCACATCCTTCCTCAGGTACTGTGGTACACTCCATCCTTTTGATACTACATCCTTTGATACTGGCACTATCCAGTCCAGAGTCCTTTGTGGTTTACTCTGTTTCTGCGCAACCTCCATGTGGCCTTGCTTGGAGTACAGTGGCCAGCCGTCTTGTTCTGTGAGTACATGCCATGAATAAATTGCTGCCAATCTTATCTATTGTTCTAATTCTAAAGTGGGTTAAGATGAACCTGACTGCTATCTCATCTCCCCATCAAGAACTCCTTTGCATCTCTTCACTCCACCATGAGTTCACTGCTCTAAAAGACTTCACACATTGATAATTTAAATAATCAAATAAATCAAGATATTAAACTCAAAACTCACAAAGAGAACTTCTCACAAGCAGGGAATAGCCCGTGCTACAACCCCTTCTGATAAAATCCAGAAAAAGCAAAGCTAACAGGTGCTTTGTGTGGGCATAATTTAACAGGTCAATCAAGAGGAATAAGCAGAAGAATAGCATTCTAAAATTGAGGGTTTTTTTTTTTAATTAAAAAAACCAGAAGAATATTCACCACATGGGTTGATTGTAGAGCTAAGTGGAGCGGCTCCAGTGGAAAGGCCACCCTTAGAGACTGCTGAAGCCACAGAAGGTGTAGAAGATGAAGTTGGTGTGGTAGAGGAGGCTGTTGAGGATGGTAACCTTTCTCCAGACTCCATATCTATGAGAGAAGACATATGCGTTAATTCTCAGTATCAGAGAGTAGGATTATGCAAAGCTACAAAGAGTATCTACATTACATCAAACTTCTCACGTATACTATTTTTTAAAATGAAATACATTTAGAAATACATGTTCCTCAAAGAAAAAGAAAAGAAAAAACTGTGGAATAAATAAAAAGGAAATAACTTAAAATACCAATGTATGAAATAGGTTGACTGTTAAATATATATCAAATCTTCTCCTGGTAGCGTGTGGAGTTTCCTTATAGCAAAATTAAGTAATAGTGATGAGAACATATAAATTTCACACAAATGTGCATAGTCATAAACTAAAGGAAAATTAACATATTCATATATTATTCTTCCTAAATTGCTCATCATCTCTTCACTTGCAACATAGTATCCATGATGTCTTAGTAAATTAAGAAAATAAGCACCACATTTGAATGGATTGTACCCCTGTCTTCTAAACACAGGTAGGAATTTGGCTGTCATTCTTAGAATCTGCTGGTGTGGATTCTGTTCTAACTCAAAAAACTCAAACTCACTGCCCTCGAGCCAATTCGGACCCCGGAGACCTGGTAGGGCTAGGTAGAGCTGCTCCTGTGGGTTTCAGAACGGTAGCTCTTTACACGAATAGAAAGCCTCATCTTTTTCCTTCGGGGCAGCTCGTGATTTCAAACTGCTAATCCTGCGGTTAAAAGTGCACCAAACAACCACTACGCCACCAGGGCACTATCCAATTCTATTAGTCCCTCACAAAAAGAAATGTGCTTTTCTGAGTTTTTATTGAAGTCAAGTTTGAATTATGATCTCAAAATGGCCTTAGTGTAATCCATTTATACATATATAATCATTTGAAGCATATTTATTAATAGCTTACATTGTTATTTAAAAACCTAGAATATGATTATCATTTTAATATTCTACATGATCAGTGTTCCCACAGCAAGCAAAGAAATCATGAAGTTCATAGTTGTTCTTAGGAATAGAAGGAGAGGGCGAGGGCGAGGGCGAGGGGGAGAGAGAGAGAGAGAGAGAGAGAAAGAGAGAGAGACTCACCTACCGATTACATTAGGCTCCATCTCAGATAAACTCTCACCATTAAATAATCTATCTACAGAGAGATTCCTCTGTCGAATTTCTGCAAGGAATTTGGTAGCTCCAATAATTACTACCTATATATTAGGAAACATTTTAACTCATCTTAAAATCTCATTTAAAAGTATTTATTACTTATAAGATTAGTATGTAAACATTGATGGAATCTGTATGGTATATGATGCTACCTCATAAAATAGATAAATATAGTAAAGATAATCTCAGTTTGCTGAAAAGCATCTCAACAGGACCATTTCAGCGAGCTTTCCTATCATATACAATTTTCAGACTTCCTTCATATTCTGGCATTGCTGTCAATCACCTTTATAGAAGATGGTACTGTTACGATGAGCATTTTCATATCATTTCAGATCTTGCCTTCTCGTCATCAGTATTCACCATGGGAAAGACGCGGTTGCTAATGAGGGCTGCACGGAACTAATGGCGAAAGGGCAGGTTTGGGGTCATCAAACAGTCCCTAACGAGCTCTGAGACATGTGGCTGTCGACCAGCGAGTCCTACGGCTGACACTTCCCTCCAGAGCTATTTTTACCGAGAAGTCGAATTTCAGCAAATACAAAAAATGTTGATCCATATGGATAAACTATTCTTTTCTTTACTGCTGCTAACCTCATTGTGTCAAATAACTCTAAGATCTACTTTTTAAAGGTATTATCATTACTTTAAAAATTCATGCAAGTTTTACTTTGTTTTATTTTCAACTTGCTTTGTGCCCCAGGGCAAGCAAATCTGGTGACAAAATGCACACAAACACTTCAGCCAAGAGTCTGGCATATAAGAGCCCGATAAGACGGCATTATTTTTTAAGAATAATAAGCTGTGAAGTCTAGATATGTTTCTATCTGTTGATATCATCAGGATACAACAAAGAAAAAACTCAAAAGATAAAACTGATAATGTCTCTCTCTCTCTCTAATAAATCCTGCAATTCTACTTCTGAGACTCTTTTGTAGAAATAAGGAGTCTCTGGGTGGCACAAAACCTAGCCAAAAACATCTTGGAAGTGAGACCTGGCAATCTACTTCTAAAAGGTCAGGCTTGGGAGTCTTGGGGTGCTCCTCTGCCCACAGCCAATATGGCCATGAGCCAGAATCGGCTGGGCTACAAGTGTGTAGACGTGAAGTCCCAATTGGCAAAGCAATATATGCAAGGTTGTTTATTCTTCCATTGTTTAAAAAAAAAAATGTAAACCTGGCAGTGAGAAATCATTGAACTAGCTTGTACAATGAACCTAGGCCTTTTTCATTTTCATTAAAGGGGCAATTTTCTCATCTATTTTTGGTTCGTTAATTTAAATGGGCATTGCAGACAAGAATTATCGTTTTAAAACATGCTTATGAAGCCATTTTCCTTAGAAGTTCTAGTATGCACATTATGCATATGTTATTTAAATAGTTTTGATCTTAGATATATAAGATTAATACATATATAAATACATTAGTACATATATATGTATTTTTTTTACCCAGTATGGTTTCTTATGGATGCTGAATTTTTGTTTTGTTTTCTTGTGGTTTGGGTGAAAGCTTACAGAATAAATTATTTTCTCCATCCCATAATGGATACATATCGTGTTTTGTAGCAGTCACGATTCCCTCAGTGTAACTGCACTCAAGCCCCTGGATCCCCACTCCGAGGCCTCCTGCTCTCGTGCTCTTTGCGGTGGCTGACCCCCTTGTTGGGTTATCCTCCTTCGGTCCTCAGGGAGTGTGTGGTCTGTTAGACCTTTGTCTCCGTGAGGCTTTGGTGGTCTTCACTCTTTGCTTCCGACTGGGAGAAACCAATAACTGCATCTGACATGGCTGCTCACTAGCTTTGCAGACCCCACTGCCTACTCACCACAATAAGGCACAGAAGATAGTCTTCCTGAATTGTTGATGGGTTTAGCTGTCCCGAGAATGTAGTACTAAGCCCCTAAGCCCAGACTCATGCCCACACATTGTTTGGCTATGCTCGGAAATTTCCATGGCTTCCCATTTGCTTGACGTATACATGAAAACATTTACAGCACACACAAATACATGGGTAGAAATATCTTCTGCCAGAGCTTCCTATGGCTGTGGGAGTCAGCATCTGTCTACCTACAACCTGTTGAGCTCGCGTGTCTCCCTTGATGATTGTTCATTACTGATGCCGTGGGCCTGCACGTGGACTTGAGTTTATCTTTGCTGTCTGTAATTCCCGTGCACCCTTCAGGGCCCTCCTTTGCTGTATGTGACCATTCCCTTCGCCCAAGTAAAGAACACGCCTCTATCGCCAAGTTAGTGACTTTCCCTCTTCCTCCTCCCTCCCATCCCTGGTATCCATCCAAAGATGTTTCTTTCGGTGTGTAAACCTTTCCATGACTGTTTATAATTGTGATCTCATATAATAGTTATCCTCTTGAGATTTCCCTTTCCCTCAGCAGAATGTTCTCAAGCTCATGTGGGTTATGAAGTGTTTATGGAGTCCTTGTTGTTCTTTACTGCTGCACTGTATTTCTTTGCACATATGTACCCAACTTTGTTTACCCTTTTATCCACTGGTGGGTTGCTCAGGATCTTTGCGTGTCCCGTAGCTTCACACAAATGTACATGCACCTTCTAAGTTTGTTTGTCAGCTGCTCCCACTCTCTATGAGGCATTTTGGTATCACAAAGTGCTTCCTTTTGTTTTTAACAAACTATATGTATGTAAACAAGCAAACAAATAAAAAGTGGCATAACAGCACTTCCAAACTAAGTCCTGGGAGGAGAGCGGATGGGAAGCAAATGGAGAAGGATGATCTACTCGTACGGGAAAGCCCTGTTCTCAAACACAGGCCTATTTCCCCTTAGGTTCTAATAAGTCTGTCCTCCTCATGACCCTCTCACCCCCGATCTCATTGACAAGGAGCCTATTCCTCAGCAGAGTAACCAGGCAGGGTTTTCGGGCTGTGAATCTTCACGGAAGCAGACAGCCTGCTCTTTCTCCTGCGGCGTGTTTCAACGGCTCACCTCGTACTTAGTCCTCAGCAGCCCGCTGTCAAGCTGGTCTCCTCATGTATCAGTTACAGCGCCCCAACATCTCACCCATTCCTTCAGGTTCATCTTATACTTATCCTTTTCCCATCTTGCAGAAATGTTTTAAAATCTATTTGACTTTGTTACTCTAAAGTGAAGGTTGTATTTGGTTTATCATGAATTACAATTTCAAAGTTCTCTCTTTTAGTTAAATGTTATGTTTTCATGCTTTATTTTACTTTTTTACCTACTCTTGGGTCCCGAAAACACAGCACTAGAAGGAATTAATAAAAAACAAAACAAAAAATCTATGGCATGCAGTTGATTCTGACTCATAGCAACCATGCAGGACAAAGTAGAACTCCCCAAGCTGCCTATCACTGGGTTAGCAGCCAAGAGCTTAACATCTGCACCACCAGGGTTCCTTCAGAGCACACAGTGGCCAGTACTTCGAAAACAAGGGAGTTAAGACGGGAATGTAGTTTTAAAGGTTGTATCATCTACAGAACAACTGTTGTTATACTGTATTACAAGAACTGTTCGAAGAGAGTGGTTTAAAATAATGTTATTAAGATAAAGGGAAGCTGGGGGAAAATAAATGTGAACTCTCTATATTAGTTTTATAATTCCTTTTTTAGTCTGCAATTATTTCAAAATAAAAAGTTGAGAAAGCACACAATATCTGGCAAAATGATAAACCAGAAGTAAATGCATATACATTGCGTCTTGAAGAGTAGAAACCTAACCCTTAAAACAATGAAGACATAAATTACATTGCATCAGTGGGGCACTGGATGGTAGATATTACATGAGTTCAAAACTGTAGCTAGAGTTTATTAGCTGTAACCTTGTGAAAATTATGTAGTTTCTCTGAACTCTCAATTTCTTCATGAATAA